TTGGCTAGATGGTGCCCGTGGAGGGTTGCTCGGATTCCCAATACTAGTTGGAAGAATTACCCATGGCTACATTGTTTGAAATCCTACGTGCAACGACTAGTTTGTGGTTGGCATAACCCTATTCCAGATGGACACTGTGGATTTCGAGCTATATCACAAGGAGTTACTGGGGACCAAAGGAATTGGCCATGAGACGCGCTGTTGTAGAGGAGCTTGAATCCCGTCCAGAGCTTTATAGAGAGTACTATGATGGAATAGCAAATGGTATTCGACGTTGCAGGTGGGCATCAACAAGTGGTTGTGGACCTCCCAACTGGATGGATAATGTGGAACTCTTCGTCTTATACCGTGCTACAGTTATATACAGTCAAAGCGGTCGTTATACCGTGCTACCGTTGTATACAGTCAAGGCGGTCGTTATACCATGGTACCTGTGACGGCCCCACCAAGAGTAACAAGACCACGTGGGATCTTATCACTACATTTTACGGGGATCATTGGGTGCGACTTGACTTTCGACATGGTCAAGTGCCCATGCCTCCAATTAATGGCCTTTGGCCTATTTTTCAAGACCCTAGTGTCAATGGGTGGGATCAATTCTTCTTACATGAGCGTGCACTTTATGATAGTTTGAACCCACGGGGATGACGATTGGAAGTTATTTACGAATTGTATAACTCTCTATTATTAAAACATTTAGTAATCTACCATGTTGATTAACTATTTTAGCAATGCATTGAATGTAACTAAAGTAAAAAACACAATTGTCCCAATTCAACTACAAACGATGATAAATAAAAAACACAATCGTCTTAGTTCAACTACAAACGATGACAAATAAAAAACACAATAGTCTCAGTTCAACTATAAATGATGACAAATAAAAAACACAATCGTCGAAATTCAACTACAAACGATGACAAATAAAAAACAGAAACGAAAGTGATAAACATCTATTGAGGCGGCTTCCCTACCAACTGGTCGTACAACTTGTGAACCCCAATTATCATATCGTAGAACTTACCACCGTCCTCCTCAAACTTACTCATGTCCCTCGTCTGCAACACGGGACCTAAACGATCCACAATCTGCTCTCTCAACTGTAAATAGAAAACAATGTTAGAATAAATAACAAATGTTCTTTATATTTGGAAAAGCAAAAGAAAGTCATAACTAACCTGATGAACTAGTAGTGGTCGCTGCTGAGGCACCCATCAGAGATGGGGTGGGTGATCCGTGGGTGAGATCTAGTCAGATACCAGTCAACGTACTCCTCCACGATCTCCGATGGGTTCTCACACGACCTAGAAGCAAAATTCAAATCTAGACGATGGGTTGCCACGTTATCCCACAACTGATTCACAAACGGATCCCAAAAGACTGTGTAACTGCTGCCGGAAGCCGGACGGTACTGGTCCTGTGGTACCATCATAGCACGGGGGATAATCTGCCGGTATCCAAACTAGCGCAGACAACATGCAGGATCGTATCCCTCAGCAATGTCAGAAAAGCGAATGATCCCAGTAAACAAGGAGCGGGGTATATCTGTGTAGCCAACTCGTCTGTACGGAGTCCAGGTCACATCATCAGCTGAAAGCTTATCCAACAACTGTCGATAACGTGCTAACCTCTGTCTAGCATCATCCCCACCTGGCAAACGGGGAGAAATCCATGAGGAAGCACGAGGTGCATCCGGAGACTGCGGCAGCTGGCTAGGATGGAATAGAGGAAAGTACTCATATATCCAAGCCTGAAGCAGGGTCAAACAACCACAAACACCCTTACTACCCGCTCGTGTGGCCACTCCCAACTGTCTGTAGAGATAGGCTAGTGCACCAGTACCCCAAGCGTAATCAGTCAATCGTCGATGATCCTTCAGAAACAAGTTGATCGCAGGATGAAGGCAATCACGACTCTTATCCACAAAAAGCGTGGATCCCAGTAACACAAGTAGGTAACACTACACCTCCATCTCCTTAATCTTCAGCTCTCCCCCACGTACCAACAATCCCTCCGCATGCATAACACCATTATCGTACCACTTAGACTTCCACTTACCACCAACATGAGCATCCACCGAAAGTCGAACTAGACCACCCATGTCTAACTTAAGAATATCCGGCGATGCCTCATCTCCCATCAGCTCTCCATCAACCGGAATACGAAGAATGTGATGCACATCGTGTAGAAGGATCGAAATCTCTCCAAACGGCGCGTGGAAGGTGTTTGTGTCCGGCTGCCACCTCTCCACAAATGTCGATAGTAGAGCCATGTCTAAATGCTGCATCATGCACCCTGTCAAGTGAGACAATCCTGTGCCTTCAACCATCTCCTTGGAACCCTCTGCACTCCACTTATATCGCCTCAAAGACTCTACAGCTTTCGGTCTATGGAAGCCGTCCAACACTCCACGGTCCTGCTCAGGGGAAGTCCACAATATAAAGCTAATGTGACCTCCAAATCTAGGGATCACATCGGGAATCACTGGTCCACCTGAACACATCTGAGACTCAGATGTAAGAAACCACGACATATCTTTACTCGTGGTCTTCCTCTTCCTATTTCCATCTCCGCCTTCCTCGCTACTAGGTCTGGACGCATAGCGTCCATCGGGCCCATGGAAGTGTGAGGAGGCAGTAGAAGATATCCCGACCCGCGCCGTCCTCCCCACGCCTAAATAAGCTTGAGGTGGGGCATCCCCAATCTCAGCATACCAGCATCACCGTCGTCATCCTCGTCAATGGAATCACTCAAATTACCCTGCCATGCCGGTGCGCTCTCTGGTGTAGGAGTACTGGTAGTACCTCGACTAAGAGACAACTGCCCCACAGTAGGGTGGCCGTCAGGACGCACTACATCCTCCTTCTTCTTCCTTCTAACCTTAGGTGGGTTTTTTTCTTCATTTTCCTTCCTACCAGTCGCCGTAAGTCTACACTGACCTTCCATTCTCTCCTTATTTCTCTCCTTAATCATATCCGGTTTACCCATTCCATGTCAAGACATCTTCAAAAAAAAGTTCGAATTATTAATAATGGATTATTAATAATGGAGTACATAAAGTAATTAATTTAAGATTTTCATAATTAAAATTATAAAACTAATAGTTTGAACATTTATGTTACGTTCTATGTAATCATTATTTACATAAAAGTAAATAATTAATCAAGGTAAAATTATTAATAATTAAGTAGATAAATGAATTACTTTGAAATTTTGATTATTAAAATGATAAAAATACATTTTTAATTTTTTATAATGTTCTTTAAATTTATTATCATTAATTAACATTTATCGAATACGTTTTTTAAATTTTTATATCATTATTGACAAAATATATAACTAAATTATTTTTATTAATTATATTTTTTAATCATTTTTATGATTATTAACATTTATCGAATAATAAAAACACAGAATATTTAAAAAAACAGGATATTAAAAAAAAGCGGTCAAACTGCGGTCAGCCGTTGGTCAAACCGCGGTTTGACTGCGGTCGTACCTTCTTCTCCGATCTTCTCCGGCGACGCGAGGGCGGCGAGGTGAGCGCGGGAGGACGGCGAGGCTCGCGCGGGCGGCGACCCGACGCGAGGGAGGATGGCGTCGCGAGCGAGCGACAGCGGCGGCGACTGCGGCGGCGACGCGAAGGGAGGGACAGAAGTCGGCGGGTGAGAGGGAGTTGCAGAGGGGAAGGGAATGATTTTGAGTTAGGGCTTGTTTGTTCACTTCAATTTTTAGTTTTTTCTTAAGGGTATATAGGTAATTTTATATTTAAGTTAGGGCGACCTTTAGCAATTTCAAGGGCGACATTTAGCAAGCCAGTTCAAATACACCACGCAAAGCTTAAATCTCCTCTAGTATATATTGCGCCACCTTGCACATAAGAAGATTGGCCGCCCTTGAACTTATTGAACACCACCATTGTATCACCCGCAAAAGTAACCGACAACTTCAGACCACCATACAAAGTCGGCAGCCACTGTCATAAACCAGTTGGTCTCAATAACTCGAGTTGTTGGGAGAAGATTATGTTGGATCTTATAACACTCTCTAACAACCACCATTGCCATCACCACCATACACTTCTCATCCCGCAAACCCCAGATCCTACTCCATGAGAGCCCCCAGCCGTAGCCACATCCACAAATAGAATGAGCTCTCCTGGAGAGCAAGGAGGACCGACCTCCTGGTCCCATGAGCTTGGGGTTGTCTATAGGGGTGGGCAACCAGTTCGGTATACCCAAAACCAAAACAGAATTAAACCGAACAGAAACCGATGTAATGCTATTCAGTTCGGAATTCGGAAGGAAAATATGGATAGTTCGGAAATCAGGGTTCTTTCAACCGAACCGAATTTTCGATCGAAAAATCGAAATACTATTATTGCAAGCTCCAAATGGTGGATTTTTATGTTTGTAATTGTTTTTAGACTTAAATATTTGAAATGTTTTATCACTTATGTGTTGAAAAATTTGATTTTATCATTGATGATGCATATAATTGCATATTTATTGTTTATATTAGGCCGAATGAACCTAATTATAATTCGGTTCGAGACCGGTTTGGATTTTGGGAGAATTCGGGGACCCGGTATTTATAATTTCGGTTCGGTCGAAATCGAACCGACCGAATGCCCACCCCTAGTTGTCTACCCAACTACTTGAGGTTTTTTTTATGATATAAAACAAAATGGTTCATAAAAAAATTTGAATCATTCATTAAGACCAAATTCTTCTCTTGCAAAACAAAATTTTATGTAAGGATCAATATAAGTATGAAATCTCAATTTAGAGTTATGTACTATTATCATTATTATTTTTTGGTAGTATTTTTTTCCACTATTATCATTAATTGAAATTGTGAACTTAGAAAAAGTAAAACTTAGGGCATGGTTGAAATTATTTAGAAAAAAATTATTTCTATATGCTAGTTGTCGGTTGGCACTTGGCAGCCGGCCGGGCAGGCGCGCCAAAATAGCCAGTGGAAAGCGATCCCCTTCCGCGCGTATCCATTTTCAATTCGCTCCTTCGCTGCAGCTGCATCATCAATTTCAACTGCCCTCCCCAGGAGAAGAATAAAAACATATGAAAAGGACAAGAAAAAAAAAGAAAAAAAAACAACAATAAAGGGGGAGAAAGCCGGAGAGGGACGCAAGCAATCATACACCGGAAGGGGAGAAGTGGTGATTCGAATTTCCGCCATTGAAGCAATCCTTGCTCTGCTCACCCATCCTTGTAAGTTTCCCAAAAACAAAACCCTAGAAAAGCCACTCCATTTCCATTCCCTGCAATTCCGTCTTTCCCTTGTCTATCCTGGGGTTTTTTTTTTTTGTTTTACTCAAATTAACGCCACTCACATCACGTCTTCATCTCCTTCCTAGTATTTACCGCCTCGGCCTGCAAATGATTATTGGAGCATAGGGCTCCGCCAACAAGAAGATTCGAGGTGCAAAAAGGGTAAAAAAAAAAAAAAAAGACCCAAACCATGAAGTCGTTGCTGCCCAAGGTTTAAGGCATCGTAGGCTTTGGTGTTGAATTGGGGGAAGAGAAACGGAAAGGAAAGAGAGGAATGGAAGTTGATGGAGTGTATGCTTCAGTTGATCCCACTGTCGTCCGATCAATTCCGATACAGTCACGCCGGCAGAGAGGTAATTGTTATCTCCGACGATTGATTTATGTATTTCAGATTCTTTGCTGATAATGTGAATTTCTTTCTGGTTTATGCCCAGCTTTCTCTATTTTTCACTTAGTTTGGAAATCTTTAGGTGGTTCTAGCAAAGGGTATGCTTCAACTTGCTATGTTTAGACTGTGATTATGCAATTAAGAGAGATACCCATATGCAAATATCTGGATTTTGCTGCTGGAGGGAGTTCAATTGTTTCTCTTCCCACCAAAGAAGTTTATTGGGTGGTTATATTATTGGTTAAGATTTTGGCTCAAGATTGTATGCATAGAAAGGCAGGATATCCGTGTTGTTAATTTCTTGGGGATGAGCAAAGCACGAGTCCTGTGCCTGGTAATAGGTTAAAGTTCGAACTTTTGTCAACAGTCGTTCATTTGTCAGCTTATTCCTAGCAGACCTAGTTGCTGGATGGACGTGTGTTTTCTGGATAATTGATCTTCTTATCCTTGCACCATAATTCGCAGAAGTAGTTGATTATGTTTCTAATTAATAGTAACATGTACTTTTCAGCTTTACATCAATTCACACAGCAGACTCTCCCAGCTTGTAAGCCTGTACTGACACCAGCATCGGTAAGTGAGTGCATTGATTTGCTATATCGGTTACTGTTATCTGAGGATTATTTATTTGGCTTGTTGTTCAATGTTGTGTCTCTTTGGCTGTGCAGGTGATTACAACATTTTTCTTGTTGGGCCTTATTTTTGTGCCTGTTGGATTTATCACTCTTCGTGCTTCTCGTAGTGTAAGTTGCTTCTGCTTGCCATGAACAGCTACTATTTACTTCTTGTGTCCATTCACTTTTGATCTTATAATCATCTCTTTGTAAGCCTGGACTGATTTACCAATGCAGGTCGTTGAGATTGTGGAACGGTATGATGCAGATTGTCTGCCCGAGGAATTTAGAGGCAACAAGATGTCTTATATTGCAGACAGTTCTATTCCAAAAAATTGTTCCAGGACATTGAAGGTTCGCCTCTAATTTGATATTTAATTCATGAATCTATAGAAACTCCTTACAGTCGATTATGACCCATTGCGTTTTTGGAGATTATGACATTTACTGGTCATGCCATTGTTCAAATTTAGAGGGAAATCTTCTGTACTTGCTCTATGCACTTGTATCTATCCCACTAAATGTTTCATGTGAAGCTTCCTTTGTTAGTGTAGGAATGTTCAATGTGGTTGCTTTGTTTATGCCTTAAGAATAACGTAGCAGCTGATAGCAGGAAAAAAAAAAAAAAACATTTTGTGCCTTTTAGTAGTTCAGTTCAATTAATTATGGCCACTTCTTCAATTGGTGGGAGGTTCTGACTTTCTGTTCTGATATGACTTCAATGTAGGTGCCCAAGAATATGAAAGCCCCAATTTATGTTTATTATCAACTTGACAACTACTACCAAAACCACCGAAGGTTAGATTGTTTCCATCTGGGTATTGTGGTTGTGATAAGTGACCCTGCTAATTCACTTCCCATAGTCATTTTTCAAAATTGTCTTTGGTTGGAACCTTTTTCATCATAGCATTTGTCTTTTGTCCACAATAATTGATTTGGTGAAAGATTTCCAGGTATGTCAAAAGTAGAAGTGATACGCAGCTTTTACGAGGACTACAAACCAACGACACGAGTCTTTGCAGACCTGAAGAGTTTGCAAATGGTCATCCCATTGTCCCTTGTGGATTAGTAGCATGGAGTTTATTCAATGACACATTCACATTTTCGCGAGGGGCATCGGAATTGAGAGTCGATCGAAAGAACATAGCATGGAGGAGTGACCGTGATCACAAGTTTGGGAAGGATGTATATCCCTACAATTTCCAAAATGGGAGTATTATCGGCGGTGGAAAGCTAGATCCAACTGTCCCTGTTAGTATCCCATAGCATTTATCACAAAACATCATTTTCCGCAGAGTTTATTCTCACACTGAAGCGAGCTGCCGTTTGTTGACTTTGTACAGCTAAGCGACCAAGAGGATTTTATTGTATGGATGCGCACAGCGGCCCTTCCAAGCTTCAGAAAGTTATATGGGCGAATCGAAGTGGATTTAGACATGGACGAGGAGATAACAGTGGACCTAATGAACAACTACAATACATATAGCTTTGGTGGGAAGAAGAAGATTGTGCTTTCGACCACGAGCTGGATCGGTGGAAGGAATGACTTCATTGGGTTTGCATTCATGTTTGTTGGCTCATCGTCAATACTCCTGTCACTGGTCTTCATGCTGCTTCACGTCAAGAACCCCAGGTAAGAATCAAAATATATGACCCTTTTACTGACATCCATTCATAATTTTCTTGCTAGTTCCTGGACTAACGAATGTGGCCAATTCCAGGACTTATGGAGACGCTGCTTACTTGGCCTGGAACAAAAAGGGCATTTCTGGTTGATTCTTGTGTTACTACATTCTCTTAGTGCAAACGGCCGAAATGACCATGGAAATCTGGCGGCGTTGTCTGGTTCAACAACTGAGAAATGAGTTGCAGAGTCAGCTGCGATGGCATTTTAGGGATATCTGGGAATGGGTACATCTTCATCTGCTAAATGGAACAGAGAGAAGCATCCATTGATTAGATTTGGCGGCACTTTTTGTACCATACCATTTGTTCTTATGCTGCCCAACAACCGGCCGAGCATTATTGCTTCTGTTGTATTTTGTTTTTACGTCTTTGCCACCTCACTTTTAACAGGGGGCTTTTGATGGTGGCGGCTGGGACCGAAGAACGTGCTTTGGTCCCTTCCTTCGGTTGCTTTATAAACCTTTTGCCTTCTGTTGGTGTGGATTCGTTTCCTAGTATTGTTAACAGTTGGACGTGTACAAGATTCCATATGACTAATTGTGCATTGGTCAAAGAGGAAGAACAACAGATGAAGAAACGTGTATCCTGGTGCTGTGCTTTTTACTGTACACCCGTCAAGTGTAGTGAAGTAAAGAGATGACATCGTTACATCTTTTGAAAGTATTGCGGCCTGTTCCAAGTGTATTTTTATCGTATGGAAAGCATGAGTTGGTGGTAAGAGAACTGATGAAATGAAAATTGGATCATATAGAATTATGTTGCGTTTTTGGGGGCTCAAAGGCAGAACAAAATTATAACTGAAACCCAGGCACAAATAACTAGACTTTAACATGTAAGATAATGTGAAAATGAAAGAGTTGTTGGATGGAGAGATCCCTAATAGTTTTAGCAAAAAAATTTATTAACATTCGCATGAATTATGATAGAATCACTCTCGCTCGGTAGTGTCAAACACAAACGCTAAAGGTTCGACGAAATAAAAAGTAGGGAACAAAGAGAATTAGAAATGACAAAGTGTAGAGAACCTTTTCGCCTCTTTATAATTATAAGTGTGTATTACTCGACGCTCCATGGAGATCATTCATGTGCGGCAACACACCTCCAAAATGTGTTCAATGACACCATTTTCAGCGCATAAGCCGAGACAAAATCGAGCTACTATCAATGCCCTTCTGAAAGGATCGGAAAAAGAAATCACGAACTGTGATGCCGTGATATTTCGGAGGATCATCTTCCGATAAAAACTCTTTTATGGGTTCATATATTCTCGAAGTCGATAGTCCCTCATTACCAAAGAATGCAGCAACTGATACTCTTGGTCCAACGCTTCTGACTAGTGCCCTGTGTTCCACGCTTTTAAATTTATCGTTGGAGATTAGCTGCAAAGTTTATCACTTCAATAGATACATCACATAACCCATTCTCAAAATATTGTAAGTCTGTAACTCTGTGCTTTGCAAGTTGTTATCAAACCTATAACGGTATAACCTATAACTTGTTACACTTGCATAAGATACATAACTAAACGGGAAATACATACACTAGTTTGTATAAACGATATGGACGAAATAAGAAAAACTGACCTGAAACATATCGCCGACATTGACAACCAGAGCCCCCGGCGTCGGAGGGACATCGACCCAACGATCCCGACGAAAAACCTGAAGACCCCCGACGTGATCCTGCAAAAGAACCGTGACGAAACCGAGATCCGAATGGCGGGCAATCCCCAAGGTGAGGTCCGGCTGGGGACAGGCCGGATAGTAATGGCTCGCGATCCCCAATCCCTCCGAGCAGCCCATCTCCTTCAAGTGGGCCGGATCCAGGCCCAGAGCCTCCGAGAACAGCCCGAAAAGCAAGTCCCCCAATTTCAGCATCTCGGCCGAGTAATCCATCACTATTCCTCTGCAGCAGGCCGGCAGCTGCTCTGGCGCCGGGGGATCCGGCGCCATGCGGTAGACGATGGAATCCCTCCAGTCCGCAGCAGCGGCGGTGTAGAGATCGAAGTTGCTGGTGTATACGACTTTTTGGGTAATGTCGCGGCCGAAGAATTCCTTCTTCAATCCCACGTCCTGGTCGAAGAACCTGTGGACTCCGGCTTTCATCTCGGCAATGGTGTTCGCGGGGACTCCGTGGTTGACTATTTGAAAGAACCCCCATGTTTCCGTTGCGTCTCTGATCTCTGCGACGATCTGTTTCCGTTTCTCGGGGTCTTGTTGGAGTACTCTCCCCAATTCCAGGTCGATTACGGGGACGGTGAAATCGGGATCGGCGGATGAAGCAGAGGGTTTGGCGCCGTTGAGGGAATCCGGCGGCGCGTGGAAGATTCGTGGCAGCTCTGTGATTCCGGCGTCCGCCAGGCCTTTCACTCCGGCCTTGGTTTCCTCAAACCATTTCTGCTCTGCTAGACGATCATAAGCGGTGGTGGGGGCCATTTTGTTTGCTTGGTGAAGTAATTATGGAGAGTTTGTGCTTAATTTTTCAAATGATTTGGATAATGTACGAAGCCATTAAATGTACATGGCGAGAAGTTTTGGTCGAGCTCAATAATGGTGCTCCACTGGCTGCTGCATTTTGGTCAAGTGTTCGACATTATTGGGCTGGCGGGTGGCGGCTGCGTTTTTGATTCTTGACGAACCCATTCTTGCATTCAAGTTAGGCGGCGGACCCTGAAATATTTTCAAGAGTATCTAATATTTAATAAGTGTTCAAGAAGACGCGCTTAGGCGGGTGCCTAGGCGCGATTACTTGCTGGGCATGATGGAAACGTGGAGAATTGGCCTGAGCGGATGACCTGGGCGCACAAAACGCGGAATCGAGCGGCAAAACGCCTAGGCTGCGATTAGGCTCTGGGAATCACTATTCCCACCTGTTGGAGACGCCCAGGGTAGGAAATAAATGGGGAAGTTGTTCTCCTTTAACCCAAAACCCAACCCTAATAATCCATTTATTCATTCGACTTTTTCAGCAAAAGGAGAGCAGCAGCCGCAACGAGCAACCAGCGCCGTCGTCCACGAGAGCGACCAGCCGCACCGTCCTCGCCGTTAGACTCGCCATCGACCAGCGCCGCTGTCCTCGCCGCCAGACTCGCCATCGACCAACGCCGTTCTCGCCTTCGTCCTCGCCGGTCGTCCTCGCCCTCTCTCATCGGTCGCCATCATTGATACACCACAGCGGGTCAGCGGCTAGGTGAGAATGGTTTGGGATTTTCTGTTCTGTTATATGTGGTGGGTAGTTGATTGATGGTAGGGATGCGATTTAGGGAATATAATGGAGTTAATTGGTGTTTGGGGAAATAGAAATGGAAGAAGCAGGAGAAGATTGCTATATAAAAGTCCGAAAGAACAACAATATATTCGAGGGAAAGGGGAGAGTTGGGGGTGGAATGGATTGATATATATAATTATATGTGAATGTGACTCCCAATTTTGTTTGTTTAAGGGCTGTTATGACTGTTATGTTTGATTTTGCATGCTAAACTTAAATATCTATCACATTTTTTTTCGACGTTTAATCTCGCCTAGTCAGCGACTAATCTGCCTGGGCGCTGGACGGTGCCTCATCGCCTAGATGGCGCCCAGCATCTTCTTGAACAATGTATTTAACAATGGCACAAAATAAGAAAAGGTAAGTAACTATATTTAATTTGACAAAGTATACAATTTGCAAAGTATACAAGTCAAACTTGAACCAATGCATTAATAATAGGGAGAAGAAAAAAAATCCTCATTTTATTTCGGAAAAAATCCAAAACTACCACTGTTTAATTTTTTTTACAAAACTACCACCCATACCAAAAAAATTCCAAATCTACCACCCTTAAGTTCTTTTGGGAAGGTCAAGGTCAGGGACGGAGCCAGGATTTGAAGTTAGGAGGGGCCAATTTTTCCCCCAAAAACATAATAAGTAACAAATCTGTTTGTAAATTCTTAGAAAACTCTAAAAATAACCAATTTATGAAAAAATTTAAGGATTTATTTAAATCAATATTTAATCTATAATAATAATATATATATTTTTATCTCTAGAATGCAAGTCACTAATGTATTTATAATTTTATATATTAGAGTAATTTGTTTCTTGTTACGATATGTAGTTAATTTAAAAAAAGAAATTGTGATGAAAAATTGAATTTTTCACATAGTAATTATATTTTGGATGTATCAATAAAAATTAAACTTATATATGTCAAACAAGAAATTAATCAAATTAAGAAGCAAGTTTAGATATTAAGGAGCCATTCATAAAAAAGCAGCACGAAAAATTTATCAAACTAAGAAGCAAATTTATATATTAACAAGCCATTCATAGAAATAAAATAAAAAAGAATCAGCTATGACCTATGTGGATTGAACTGCTGACTGCTGAGATATTAATAACTAACAATACATTGAAGCTAAAAAATGGACAGCAGGGGTGACTTGATCTGTCGTCCTCTCACTCGCAAGCAGGGAAAAGCCAGCATATATAACACTTCGTCTATCCTCCAATGCTTTGATGCTAACAATTTACATTTATTTTAGATCTTAGGGGTGCCATCCGTCCCTGGTCAAGGTGATAGGATGGTTGTCGTACGATCTGCACAACATACTCGCGGCAGATTTTGCAACTAATAATCCCGTTCCCTTTGTTACAGAGGGTGCATGTTGTGTTGTCGAACAATTAAAATAATACCATGCGAAGAAAGAATGATTAATAACAAGGTACGATCATCACCTAAAACATTAATTCTGGATAAAGAATGATAATTACATTACCAAGTATAAGTACCGAATTAGTTGAACAACGAGAAATAAAAGTGATAATCTGTCGTATATGAGATTATGAATAGCGCTATAGCTACCTAGCTTCTAATTAAGCTCCGTAAGTATATATTAATCCAATCCAATATCAGTTGACCAGGCTGCACCTCCTCCTAATCTCCCCCTGATTCCCCGTAAGAACATCAATGGAACCCATCTTCACCATTGCCCTACCGAATTTTGCAGCCCACGCCACACTATACGACCTGGCGTTCACATCCACGTACCCCCTTGTCGCCGGGCTCTCCGCCAACGTCTGGTCCGTCGTAAGCAACCCCCGCCCCGCTCTCAACTCCGCATAGTACCTGTTGTCCAGACGATTGGGCGTCGCCGGGTCCATCGCCACCGTCGGATCACTACCTCCGTTCACTGGACACGTGGCCCTCAGACTGGCCGCGTAGTTCCGGTCAAGGGTCGGGTCTTGAGCTTGCGTTCCATTGAAGTTGTAGAGCCGGTCAGAGAACGATGAACAGCGGGCCCGGCCGATGGAATGCGCACCGGAGAGCGTGACCATCTCGTCCGCCGACAACCCTTTCCTTGCGAAATTCTGGATGAGCTGGTCGGCCGAGAGTCTCGGGGAAGGGAGGTTTTGCGTGACCTCGTTGAAGCTGGAGATGTTGCCGTCGCGGCGGCCGGCGGGGATAGGGTAGTTGATGCGCCCGAGTATCTGGGAGCTGTCCCTGGCGGCGAAAGCGAGGATGTCAGCACAGGAGACTGTGTTGGGGCAGATGCACTCGATTCTTCTTTTGGCTTTGGAGATGATGTTGAATCCTCTCAATCCGGGATTGTTGGCCGGGTGATCTCTCTCTGCTTTTGGGCCACCGGGGAGGGATTTCAGTAACACCGAACCATCACAACCCCGGACAAAGCAGTCATGAAAGTGCAATCTAATGAGCCCAGCCCCGATGCCGGGATTGTGAGACACCGCCCTTCTCACGGTTCTTCTCACAATGGATTCGGCGGCTGGGCAAGAACGCGTGTAGAAGCCAAACCTGAGTGGCGGGGAACCAGCTGCATGCACCACCGGCACAAACAACATGATCATGATCAGGAAGAGCATCCCGTCCAACAATGCACGGCGGTGACCCTTCATCGTGGTGCACAAATAACGTCCAAACACGAGGAAGAATCAAGTAGCGCTAGGCCTAGAACGATGGGACGAAAGATAATATATGGTGTAGTAGTCGCTCTCTACGAAGTAACTAGTAAGTAGTATGGAGGTTTTTGGGAGACTGATCACATCTATGTTGGTACTTATAGTGTGGAATTAATGACCTTTACCTTTTGGGGTTTGGTTAGTTGTTTCTGAAACCGTGTAGATATAGGTAGAGCTTTCTGTTTTTTATTCTTTTTTTGAACGACGTGTAGAGCTAAATAGATTAGATAGAGGAATTCCTGATTCTAAAATGGAATCGGATTATCTTCCAGGAAGCTAGAGATCGAATGCTATTGGACCGACTAGGATTAGTTTTAATATAATCATAATACTTGCATAAATAAAAAACATCCTACAGCATTATTAAAAAAATCCTAATACTTGTTGGACAAATTATTATTAGAATTATTAAGTCGTAAGTAGAAAAATCCGTCTACTTAATCAAAACTTTAATACCATTTAAAATTTTATTTTATTTTATGAAAGTGCTCAACCCATGAGTATTTAACCTAATTCAAATCGGTCAAAATGAGTTGGACCCAGTGTCAATATGAGTTTTGTTAAAAACTTGCCCGTTGACTTGGGATACGGTCAATAATTATTGGTTACTGACCAATGAGTAAATAAATCTGGACCTTTAGATCTAAGTGGGCTCTGAAAATCCAGATCTAAGGGTTCTGAATTAAAGGCATTTTATTTTCCATAGTTTTCTTAATCGGCTCTTATCTTCTTCCTTCTAACTCGGATTTCAATTTTTTTCACGGATGGAACAAGCTCTTTGTGCTCTACAAAATGAGATCAATTTTCAATATATTTCGATAAACTTTTTTTCATACCTCCCGTTACCAACTACATACCATATGATAACTTCTTTGTTTTTAAGTCGTTTTTTAAAATGTTTGCTCAGAAGGAACGAGTTCATCATGATCTATTGGATCTACAAATTTTTGTGTGAAAAAATACCGAACCAAAAATTACCATACTTTACAACTCTGGTCTCTAGTATGTGGGTGGTAACTTGTGGTAAAAAATTATGAAAGTCGTAAATGACAGTTAGTATACTCCTACTATCATGTATTCAACCTTCCTACAGTATTGGTATGTTCATATCCACATGGTACGCTTTCTTACCATATGGTATAAATAGTAGCATACCATATGATATTGACTGGTAAAAAATGACTCATTTTTTTCTTATAAAATTATATCAAAGTGGATATCATTTTAAAGAGCACAATTAATATGATTTATCTGTGAAAAAATTAAATTCCGACTTAAAACGAGAGAGAAATCGCCCGTTAAAGATTAAAGAGGAAAAGATAAAAGACTTTCAATGAGAGAGAGGGATGCTGATGTGGATTACTTGATCGATACAAGCACACAAGCTGTCAAGATCTCGTTCAAAACACCTCTCAAACTCACGAAGCAACAAGCTTGTGAACCAAACTCGGGTTTGTATTCAATTCAATCAACTCAGACAATTAAAACGTAATTGAAAGCTTTAAATAGAGATAGGCCAACAAACAAACTAAAATGAAAGTCTAAATTACACACAAACTCGGAAATCAGAATGCAAACTGAAAAGGTAAAGAGTTCTAGTCGTACTCCTAATCCGAATAGGATTCAGATTCTTGATCAAGCAAGGAAGTTTCTTCAGGCTTCGGACGATCTTGCTAGCGTTTGTTCGAAGTCCTCTAAACTTCGTTCTAGTCATCCAATTCCCTGACATTGAAGTATGAAATGCCTATTTTCATGTGAAATCCACTTTGCAACTCGAACCTAGCTCAAACTCCTCGAATTGAAGCGCAAAATCACCTTTATGAACTCGTTTCCAGACTTGGGCAGTGTTTGTTCCATCTCGCTCAGGGCACGAACAATGATATTTGTTGTGCGGGGTCGACTCACGATCCGTTCGTCTGATTTCGTCGGGAGGGAAGGGACCTGTGAAAGAGCCGGGGTTGCCCCCCGGATTAAGGTCAGACGATCAAGTCAGTTTATGTTTCAAGTGAGAGTTGAGAGAACAAGGTAGAAAGTTAAAGTGTAGAGAGATAATGGAAAGTGGAAAGTGAGGAGGGAGAAGAAGAGAGCCCCCTTCCATGGGGAGTTTCATGCCTTTAAATACTTCGTAGTGGCGTTCGTCCGGAGCACGTTACCGATTGAGCGCGCCCTTATTTAGTCCGCGCGTGGAGTATTTAGTAACACCCCCAACAATTGCCCCCCAAGCTGGTGGTGAGTCTTAACTCATCGCTAGCTTATTATTTTTTTTTTTTAAATCTTCGTCGGTAATTTTGGGTGGAGCCCTATGTACCCCAGTTGCCCCCCAGCTGGTGGCGCGTTTGACTGACGCGGTGCCAGCTTCTTGCGTCTTGCCCCCCAGTTGCTGTATTTCATTAAGGCGTGTAGCCTTCACTCATTGTAGATTCTTCATGGAGCTCTCCTCGTCGGTTTTTTTTTAACCCTCAGTTTGGAGTTCTCCTCGTAGGGGTTTTTAACCCTCAGTTTGGAGTCTTCGATGCTCTTATTGAAGTCTTATTTGTGTGCTTCGTTGAGACTTATTTGTGGCTCCTCGTCGGGGTTTTTAACCCTCAGTTTGGAGTCTTCGATGCTCTTATTAAAGTCTTATTTGTGTGCTTCGTTGAGACTTATTTGTGGCTCCTCGTCGGGATTTTTAACCCTCAGTTTAGAGCCCTCCTCGTCGGGGTTTTTAACCCTCAGTTTGGAGTCTTCGATGCTCTTATTGAAGTCTTATTTGTGTGCTTTGTTGAGACTTATTTGTGGCTCCTCGCGGGGTTTTTAACCCTCAGTTTGGAGCCCTCCTCGCGGGGTTTTTAACCCTCAGTTTGGAGTCTTCGGTGCTCTTATTGAAGTCTTATTTGTGTGCTTCGTTGAGACTTATTTGTGGCTCCTCGTCGGGGTTTTTAACCCTCAGTTTGGAGCCCTCCTCGTAGGGGTTTTTAACTCTCAGTTTGGAGTCTTCGATGCTCTTATTGAAGTTTTATTTGTGTGCTTCGTTGAGACTTATTTGTGGCTCCTCGTCGGGGTTTTTAACCCTCAGTTTGGAGCCCTCCTCGTCGGGGTTTTTAACCCTCAGTTTGGAGTCTTCGGTGCTCTTATTGAAGTCTTATTTGTTTGCTTTGTTGAGACTTATTTGTAGATCTTCGAGGCAATGTGCCCTCTCCCTTAGCGCCATTAACGCTCATGAGAGTAAAATATTTCAATATTTAATAATGATAAAGGGATAGAGTACTTAGCTTTATGTTGGCGAAGCGGCGCGAAGAGTTGTTAAAATAAGAGTGCTGCGCCTAAGGATCACAAGGCGCGTATGTAGCCTGCTGGTAATGTTGCATGTTTGGCGGAGGAATGACGTGGGTTCAATTCCTGGTGGAGGCAATAATATTTTTGACGCGGAGTGGTCCAAGGATGGACTGGGCGGACTTGGATCCGTGAGTGTGGGCTTGTTAAGCGGGCGGCTTATGTGGAGCGGGCTGGAGTGGCGGATCAGAAAGGAGGACTTGGGCCGCGAGTGTTGAGGCAGCGGGCCATGAGCGAATCGGGCCGCGAGCTAAAGTTGGGCGGGACGGTAACGCGGGCCCTGAATAGTTGGAGGCTGGATCCTGGGCCTTCGCGGGCCACTTTATTGTATCTGATGAGAGCTGGAGGTGGGCCGGGTCGGTCTGTCGCGAGATGTGGGCATGAGCTGGAGGTGTTGTGAATTGAGCCGCGATTGAGTGAATTTATAAAGAGCGCCACGCTTTAGTAGTAATAATTGGCTTTAGTCTACTGGTTGACATGCACGTCCGGTGGAGAAATGACTCGAGTTCGAGTATTGGCAGCAACGCCATTATTTTTGACACGCAATGGAGCGAGATGCGGGCCGCGAGTAGGGCTTCTGTGGGGCGAATTGAGCTGTTGGGGCAGGCTTGGATCCGCGACTTGGTGCAAGGCTAGCGCGAGTGGCCTGGCTCGACGCGGGCTGGTGGAGTGTGCGGCGCGGGGCCGCGACGCGGGCCGTGACTTGGGCTGGGCGAACGTTGGAGCTCGGGAGAAACGCGAGTTGGGCCGGGAGCGTTGGGGACGCGAGTTGGGCCACGAGCGTTGGGGACGCGTTGGCGTTACATTTGTAGTCTGGCGGGCCAGAGACTTGGGCTTCAAAGGTCGGGTCTGGCGGAGCGGAATGGAGGCGGATTCGAAATATTGGACCGCGACAGGTTTGAGACGCGGGTCAGGAGCGGAGACGTGGGCCGCGAGCTGGTGTCGGGCCCACTCGCCGGCGGGCTTGTATGGCGCGAGTAAGATGGGAGAAGCTTGAGCGGGCTGATTCGGGTCGGATGTATCGCATCTTGGCCGCGCTAGTGACAGACGAGCCTGTTAGGAACGAGTTGGCGCCGGAGTGGAAACGGATTGGAGGCGGGTGTATTTGGGCCCTAACGGTGGAGGCCCATGAGACGGGCCAGACATGGGCGTCGATCCTCATTGGGTGGTTGAAGGCTTCAAGCCAACGTGTTTGAAGAGTGGCAGAAGGACTGCTTTGAATCCTCTCCTCGTTTCTTTTGTATTTTTCCTTTTTTTTTTTTTACTTCTTTCCTTTCTTCTCCTTCTTCCTCTCTATTGTGCTCAATCTTCTGCTTCTCTTTACATCCTTGCAGGCGTTAGAAGTTTTCCCTTTTTTTGATTTGCAGGTGCGGCGGCGGCTCGGCGAATGAGAAAAATGGAAAACTTGGAGAGGGAGAGTCTCCAATTTGGCAGAGGCCGAGTCTGCATCAGCGGTGGGAAGGATTTCTCGAGGAGAGGAAGGAAGGGCAGAAGGCGATGTTCAGCGTGAGGAGGTCGTCGATGATCGGACGGTCAGGGATGAGCGTGCAGGTGTACGATAACCCAGGGGAGGAGTACGGGAGCCGGAGCTGCACGGTGGTCGACGCGGCGAGGGGAGCGGCGGTGGCGGAGATCCGGCGGAAGGTTGACGCGTCGACGAGCGTGGTGCTGGGGAAGGACGTGTTCTCGTTAGCGGTGAAGCCCGGGTTCGACGGGGCGTTCGCCATGAGATTGGTGCTGGTTCTCGATCAGATCTCGGCGGTGATTTGGCAGTAGGGGTTTCGCGCCGTC